ATATAACTTGTATATAATCTATATATAATCTATAACTTATTCGAGTGAATAGATTTTTTGTTAAGCTTCCAAACTTAATTTCAACGATATCACGCTGTTCTCCGATTTAGTCGGATTAGTGGAACCGCTGTCGGTCTGTATGCAAAAGCCACATAATTTGTACATTACACAAATGTTTTCATAAATTGGTAGTTCTAGGTGCAAAAGATGCAGAATCACTCCCGCATCCCGTTCAGACGAATTTCGTTAAAAATCGAGGGCTCGTGGAATCGTCGCAATCCCGCAACGCGTCAGTGGAATTCCGAGGCGAGCGAGAGGGAATGCCGCATCCCCGGCGCGGCCGCGTGCGAGCGCGCGCGCGCGCGTTTCCAGGCGCCTTTTTTATTTTGCGAAAATGAGAGTTTACTGCCTTCCGCGGGGCGACGGAGAAGAAACGCTCCTTTGTCTCTTTATGGTCGGAAAGTGGCTCGTGGATCGACCACGGCGGAAGAGCCCGAGAGACCCAAGACGGCATCGCCGGCCGCTGCCGCCGTCACCCGCCATCGCCGCGGCCGTCTTCTTCTTGGACGCCACGAAGAAGTACGGTCGGATAATAACGAGTTTCGCTGTCGTCCCTTTCGCCCTTGCGCGAGTAGCGCGAGTCGTAAAGTCAGCCGATGTTAACTCCCCCCGCCCGCCCGCCCGCCCGTCCGCCCGGCCGTTTTTCTTCCACGGCGATGTGGACGATCGTGTCAAATTTTTATTGCGCCAACGAGCCTGTCTCGTGGCGCGGGGCTCTCGCAATCGCCTCGCCTTATACGGCATTGCAACGACGAGAAAAGAGAAAGAGACGGATCTCGGGATCGCGTCGACGCAGCATCCCTCCACTGGACATCGACAGATTGCGAGGGATAACGATGAGGATTGTATAAATGCGATAATAAGCTCGATAAAATATAGCGGTACGGGTGCAATTACCGGTGGGGAGGCAGACAAGTTACTTAGAACCTCTGACATGTCGGGTCCAAATTATTGTGCAGGGAGACAACTAAACGTAACAATGAAACGAATGATGAACACCCGCGGAAATTCATAGCAAACGGTACTAATGCGATAGCTTTCGATTTAAGAATTTCGATAATAATCGGACACCCTGAAAGTAATTTCGACAGCGGTATAAAAATACTCTGAACGTTGCGCGTTTCGTCCATTCGATTTAACTGCCGCGATTCGATTCTAATGGAGGCAATTAGCTGAGGGACGAAGACTTCCTATATGTTAAATTCTTGGTGAAGAAACGCACGAAACATGATCGCCTCCGCGTTTCGCTCTCGCCTTTATAAATCCGTTAATGGTAAGATAATTACATGAGCAAACATTTCGAAAGGAGCCCGCAACTTTACAGCCAAATTTAGACAAATCGAAATTTAAATAGCGGCACAGAACGTTAAGGACATTCAGGAAATAATTCATGTATTTGTAGGCGCACGAAGCATCTTCCGAAGTTACAGCGGCGACGGCGCTAGCATTTTCAACGGGTTCAAAAGGGAGAGACTGCGGTACCGAGAAGAGGCAGGTATCGTCCTGTATCTATGTAAACCTTAAAAAACAACCTTTTTATAAAAAAAAGGTAAAAAGACGCCAAGTATAAGCGCCATCCAATCAAGAAGTATATAATTTAATTATTTGGACATATTTGGTTAGAAAAAAACATTTTTTTTGTCTCTACAAAATGATGTCTTCAAATTGCGCAAACTAAAATGGATATTTATACAAACTGGATACTTTATCCTGTATCTATGTATAATATATTACGAAAGGATCCAATCGTGCAATATCCATCAGTAGAGTTACAAATATTTCCACTCTGTTTATCTCGGTGAATTAATCAAACTCGCTGACACAGTATTTCCATCCCGTGCACATTTTTTTTCTTTGACCAAATAAACCTCATTCGCGTATTTGTGTTCACTGCACTCGAAATTCGTCCAATCCGTTCTACGACACCATTGACTGCACCGCTCTGTATGTCGGAAAGGTTATTACGAGTCGAGGAACTCCTGCGGGAAATCTGCTCGCGACGACTCGGAGCTGCACGATATAATCCCAGAAGAGCGCAAAGTTCTCGGCACGGATAAAGCTGAAGATCCGTTCGACCGTTGTCTTCAATAATAATTGCCTCGGATCAACGTCAACTCTTACTTTTGTGGAACATCTGATTTACAATTCAAATAATGAGAAAAAAGAAAGCAAGTTAATAAAGGGTGAGCTAATGCTGACAAATTAAAGATGAGCGAAATAAGTTATTCTTCGTTCGGTAAATTCAAAAATCACGCATGGACGATAGTGGCGAAACTATTTGTTCGATATATAAAAAAAACTGTCATTCGGAAGGTTATTTTTACTCTGAATAATAAAAATTCGATCCACATTGACAGCAGAAATAGCCAAGGTGGACAAGTTCACCTCCCTGCATTGTCACATTCGTTTCACGCTACGTCGTGCAATATTCAGCGCGATGTCTATTACACCGCTGGACTACCTGACGTTTCGCGTGATGCGTCGATATTTTCTTTCCCCCTTTTTTTTCGCCGAACGAGAGGCGCACACCGGGGGCGAGGAGGCAAAGACGCATTACCAGATTGGCTGGCTCGCGTTCGCATTCAGGGGGGGAAGAGGTCCTTTACATTCATGAAGCTTTTATCCGGTTGATTTGACTACGCGCTACGTATCCGCGGTTCTCGATTTGATTTGCATTGATTGGAGTGGCCGGGCTCTCTCCCGATAACGACCGTTCTTCTTCGGCGGCGATGCGGATTCCGGAACTGGCGGGCCGACCGCGGCACGGCGTGTTACGAATAAACTCGCGTTGACTGTAGAAGGGTGTATTTCGCTAAGTGTACTTTAACGAATCCCGCAGGAGCGACAGCCTCAAGTGACACGAAGATCACGGAGAACTTACCGTGGAAAGCATTTATTCGTAAGTTTGAATTACATATCAGGAATTACTCTGGGGAACAAAAAGACAGCAACCCATTTTGGGGCCCACAATTAGTAAACGAATTATTTGGATTGTTCGTAACACTCTAATCTTGTGCGAATTTTACCCCGCGTAACTAAAAATCGCAATTAGCTATTCTATCTATGCCCAAGATTAAAGTAATACTAATAAATTCTCTCAATTGGTTCTGTCGATATTCAGTAACGCAAAGATAATTTTCACTTAAGGCGCACCAACCGAAATGTTAAGTTGCTTAACTGCAAGAAAAAACGGTCAAAATTTTTCCCAGAGTAGAGCTACGAGCAATCCAAATAATTCGATTACTAATTGTGGGCCCTAAAATGGATTGCTGTCTTTTTTTTCCCCAGAGTATATTCCTGCATTCTGAAAAGAAACATGATTGGTAACACGATTGCGCGTTGTTCAAAATCCAATAATTTTATTACGCACGGAGAATATTATGGTGTAACACATTTCACAACAACATACCGTGCGTACGTATGCATTAATTAAATAAATATTAAACGCATATAGATAATACAATAGATAATGCAATAGATAATAAATAATACAATAGAGTTTGCAACAAACGTGGATCATGAACACGTGTAAACATCGTTTCGACAACGCGAGATTTGTTTTCAACTTGACCAACCTCGTAGCGTGTTTCTTTCCCGGTCTCGCAATATTCATAAATATTGATTACATAGAGATAACAAAACGTATCGGAATAGAGGCAGCCGTGAAGTGGCCGAACGTGCGATGCCGTAATTTAATGTAGCGCTGCTCGCGCGTACTAAGATTTTTACCGTGAAATTCTGCCGCTCCATCACGACGTCTTATAACAAGCGTCGCGATAGGTGCATCCCAATTTCGTCTTCTTCCACGACAACGGGCGGCATTGTGGCCGCGTCAGCGGCGGAACGATGATTAATCGATCGACTGTCACGGATATCGCTCTTTTCCCCTTCGCGCGCGGCTACTACGCTCGCGGATGGAGAACGCGTAATACCGCGGACCGCGCGACGTAGACCGCCTCCATTAATAAAAATCAAATCGCCATTAAGTCGAAAATATTTACAGTGTCGCGGACAACAACAGCCGGACTGCACCCTCTTTGACGGACTCTGAAGATGAATGTCATGGAAAATGGAGGAAACCGCGGCCCGACACCACTAATCGTCGCGGAATGAGTCTCCGTTTTCTACTCTTCCCTCTCGCTCCTTTTCTTTCGAGGGGACCACCTGGAAATTTCCCAGATTAAATTGATTCGTATGCGCGCACTTTGCAGCGATCCGATGATCCGCCGCCGCCGCCGCCGCCGCCGCCGCAGTCGCCGTCGCCGTGACCGCATCATTCATCTCGCCGGTGTACTATTAGTACTGTTATTTATGACGAAAAAAAAGTGTAGACCGCGAGCGGCACCCATTATGTATCGAGATCGGGTCGCCGGGTGATTTATGCCGGCGGCGTAAATTGCCGCTTGTCCTTTGCAAGATCGTAGTGAAACGTCGCCGATTAAAATCCCGCCGCCACGTTGATCGTGATTTAGCGGAGTTTAGGTGGGCCCCGGCCCCCCGGCCCCGCCGCCTCCGTGATTGCGAAATTAGCGATCGCGAGATTACGCTAAGTTTTATGCGCGCGAAAAATACAGGCGTGGCCACGGCTCTGTTATTGGTGCGAGCAGTCCCTCGGGATCGCGATTATCTCCAAACTTAATTAAATTACTCGACAAAGATTAAGATAATCGTCATGACGTGTATTTCACGAACAAACATGACTGCTGCGAAAGGATCTGTCTCGAACAAACATTTTATCCCCCTCATATTAATTAAAAAAACAATGTAGAATGCAGAATTGAAAATATAACAGCTATTAGAAAGAGCAGTTTGAAAGCAGTTTTTCCGTTCTCGAAACTGTTAAATTCATTGCAAGTTAAATTATTTTTCATTGTCTTAAACAAAAATAATCAAAGCATAATTTTGTAATCTTTATACCTTAAACTGATCGATTGAAATGATCATTGGTACACTTTGTCCTTATCGTCCAACGTCCGGAAATATTCCAACGTGGGGTACGTTCGCAGCCGCAACAACTCGTGCTCGGTCTGCAGCGCCAGGAGCTCGATGTAATTGTCTTGGAGCTTCCTGACCAGATCGGATCGTTGCTTAAAAAGACGCGTCTTCCGGTCCGCGTGCTCGCGTTGTCTCATCTCCCCGACGACGTCGCGCTGGTACTCCAATTCCCATCTCACTACGTTCATCTCGGTGATGGTTCGGTCGAGCTCGGCGTTCTTCTTCTTCAGGCAAGCCATCTTCCGCCGGAGGTTCTTCAGTTTACTCGTCTCCTTGGACAAGGCCTTGTTCAAAGACTTTTTCGCGCTCTCGATCTCTCTTTCGAGATGCACCGCAGTTTTGTCGTCGCGCAGTCCCTTCGCCTTCCTCTTCAGATAGGTGCGCATGTCCCGGGTGGCCGTCACGTTCTTCAAAAAATGCAGATCTTCTGTTAGCTCCTTGAACTTTGTCCTGAGGCAACGGTGCTCCCATTCCGTCGACAACATCCCGTAGCGAAAGTCGATCGTGCGCTTCAGAGCGTCCAGCTTGCGCGCACCCGCGACGCGGATGTGCTCGTTGACCCTCTCGATCTCTCCGCGCGGCACCAAGACGGCATCCGCCGCGTCGCGCCGTTCACCCCGCAACTCCAGCTCCACCTGACCTCTCTTCAGCACCAGCTGCATCTCCGCGTCCTGCTCGCGCGTTATCCGCTCGTCCCTCGCTGTCCTCCATCGATCCTTGAGGAGGGCCACGTTCGATTTACACGTGTTGATCTTGCTCTCGAACACGGCGAGCTTTCGCTCCACCGTGGCTATTTCCAACTGCCGAGCCTTGATCTGCAGTTCGACATTAATCTTTTGACGGCGCAACTGCGTCAGGTGAGCCCAGTGACTCGCGTCGATCGACTGCGGCAATTCGTTGGGTCGCGCGTCCAGACTCTCCAGGATTCTCGAGTAATCCGCGCATTCGGCCGGGAAATAAGCCGGCTTGACGTGGTCTACAAGATACTTTGCGAGAGTGAGCAGGTCGCTGGCAGCGACGTTCTTCAAGGATACCCGCGGCCTTCGCTTGTATTGCCGTTCGAGAAGCTCGACGTTGACCTTCGACGATGGAGCGAATTCGTGCTGGAGCCTCTTCACCGTCGTCTTCTCGCTAGTGCAGAGCGCATCGTGTTGCGCGAGCATATCCTGATAGACGTCGTGCAGCTTCTGCGCGTGTTCCTCCAGCCTGTTCCCGTATTGGCGTTTCTCGGCTATCTCTCGTTTCATTCTGTCATCTTCTTTCACAGCCTCAACCCGCGCTAGATTACGCATGCGGCCGCGAATGTGCCGTAGCCTTAGCTGATTTATTGCCGATTCGACTCTTAGTTTCAGCTATAAAGTAAAAGTTGTTCTAAAGAATCTGACAAGTTCTCCGTGTCGGTCAATACATATATAAAATATGTAGCCCAGAAAATATAATTATTATAATTTGTCTTTAAACAAATGATTATCTTGATAGATGAATAATAATTAAAAGTCAGAGAGAGAGAGAGGGGGGGGGAGAGGGAGAGGGAGAGAGAGACCTGAAAGAATTCGTTCAACTTGGCGTCGAACTTGTCGATGCCTTCCTGCAAGAGTCCATTAATTTTCGCGTAATCAGCCTCGAGCATTCTTCTGTAACGCTCACGTTCCTGCCGAAGAGTCTCCACATTCGCTTCGTACTTCCTTACGGACACGATGTCGTCAGACGTGTACTGCTCCGGCTGTCTCTCCAGCATGCACGCGGGCCTGCGCACGTCTATCCTGATGGTGTCCTCCCAGCGAATCTCCAGCACGCCGTCCATCATCCTCATCAGGGCGCGCTCGCGAAAATCGTCGGCCAGTAACAACTGTCTGATCCGTTCGGCTTCCGATGCTTGCCTGCTAAGGATTTCCTGCTGCGACGGCGACACGTACGGCCTCGCCTTGACCTCGTGATCGAGCACTTGAATAATGCTCTCTGCTTTCTCCTGATGTTACATTTACTTTACGCATTTGATCGATATCACTCGTAATTGTAGCATCGTGTAGGAAAGTTTAAACAAATTGATTTTAATCCCCAATGTAAAAATTTTTGCCCCGCCGGCATCTGCACGTGAAAAAGAATTTATTATTTTATTAAATCTGATGTATTGTTACAGATAAATGCTGCATTCGTTTATAAGTCGATCTTCCGTTTCGTAAGAATTATACGTTTGAATACCTTTTGCCACTATCTCGAATGTTGGCACAGTGTAAATCCGCGAGAAAAATTAATTTCCTAAACTCATCGGCAAGAATATTGGCTCACGTTTTTCCCGCGATAATTCAATTAAGGCCGTAGGCTCCACGGGCAGCCGGCAGAAGCAATACTCGCACCTCGTGTTTACCTTGGGATGCCACTGCGGATCAACAGGAACCCGCGGCACACCCTGGCCGAACATTATCCTCAGCTCGGAGTCGATATGACGTATCCTCTCGTTCCTCTCCCTTATCACGTTCACTTCCCGCTCCTTCGCCGCGTACATGTCATCAAAGAGCCCGTTGAAGTAGGCATGGAGCTTGCCGTAGTCGTGCATCAGATAACGATCGTCCAGCATCACGTGCGCGAACCCGTAAGACTCCATTTGCGAGTAATAGTAAGGCGATTGCTCGACGAACCGATGCGTTGTCATGCCTGCGGACAAGCGCCAGACGATTAGCGAGACGTTTAATCGAGCAAAGTCGGAAATCTCAAATCTCGCAGCTTCATACAAAGTAAAACTGGAATTCTTTCCTTTTAACTCTCCTTTTTCTGACAATTAATTTAGGTCCTTTTATTCTGATGAGACAAACAACTTCTGTTTTAAGCAACTCCAAATCCTCGTTGTGTCCCTCAGATTCTCGTTTTATTCGAGATTTAATTATTTACGAATTTCTCAGACATATAAGATGACGTTCTTTCGCAATAAATGACAGGAAGGTATTGTCGCTGTTATCGGAAACCAGGAAATTCAAGCGCGATGCTCCGAGAATAAAAAAAAACTCAAGCGCAATGATCCACATACATCCATCGTGTGAAAGAGGAGCAGAAAGTTATTATTCTACCATCGACCGCCCGCAGCTCCGCCAGTTCCTCAGGATCGATTTCACGCTCCTCCTCTTCCAGGAGCAAATCCATCCTGCGTCTCTCGTCCTCGCGATACACCCGGACGGGTTTGCTCAGTTCCGCCTGTAATTGATCGTCCGTGTAGCTGTGCCACGGTTGGAAGGTGTCGTAGACGATGCTGCGCACTGAATCCCTGGTGAACTGCGCCCATCGCAGGTGCTCCTTGAAATGCGGATCCTCCTCGGCCAGCGGGTAATTTGTCACCTCCGTGTCACCGCGAAAGGCGAATATCGAGCGACCTAACACGACCTGCGGATCCCAGAAGATCGCCTTCATCCAGTCGGCTATGCGATCCATCGAGGCACAGAAGTGTTCGAGTTCCATGCCGACGTCCTGTCGCTCGTCTTTCGCAGTCTTCAGTTTCTGATCGCGGCCTGCTCTGTTCAAGTCAAACGCGGACACTGGTAACTTCTCCATCTCCGGGCAGGTCTCATTGGTATCGAGGAGCTGTTTAACGGTGGCCTTCAAGACCGCCAGATTCTTCGCGATGGCGTCCTTCTCCTTGGCGTAAAATCTTGTTTCTTCTTGCAGCTGCGCGTTCTCTCGCCATTCTTCCCAGGTTCCAAATCCTTTCTCGTCGGCTGCTGGGAAATCTACTCTGGCTCGGGTCAATGAGGCACGGATCGCCGGGTCCAAGGAGGCATAATCCGAGAGTATCTTCTTTTTTTGCTTCGCGTACCATTCATAGTCCACCGGATAGACGCTTTTGGTTTCAATCGCGGTCAGTGACGTTTTACTCTTCTGTACTAAAAACAGGAATTGTTACTGTTTCACGAGAAAAGAAAATTTAAAGAAGTTTAATATTATTCCTTAAGAGAAAACGAGAAATCGCACGATTGTGTTGTTAGCACACACTTTTTCGTTTTCAAGACGAACGCGCGTCGCGATCACAGAACCATCGTGGCCAAGCGCGACCGCCATGTCACCGTCGAGATTAACAATCGCCTTTCGGCTGCCCAAGTCGAGTCTGTGATGTACCGGCACCACGGCGGCGATCTGCCGTATCATTCTGTCGCGGATAACGACCAGTCCGTCGTAAGCGCACGTGACGATCCAACGTCGATCGGTGAAGACGCGAGCGAGTCGCACGTGATGGCCCGTCAACGCCGCGTCCGTCAAGGCCGCGTCCTCCAAGCCTCGCAGCCTCAGCGCGTGTATCTGCCGTTCGAGATAAGGCGAGCTTATCAGCAGCTGAGAATCGCCAGGCGCGTAACACAGCTCGTAAAAGAGCGCGGGCAGCGTTACGATGCCAATGATCTCATTGACTAGACGTTGACTGGCGTCGACGAGGTGTACGCTGTACACGTGCAGCTGGTGACCCACCAAGCTGAATGGCTCGTACTTGGCGTGGAGGATGAGCACCTTCAGGCTGCCGCGCGCTTCATCGTCGTACAGCACCACGTCGGCGACGCGACCCTTCGCCCGGAGCTGGGCCATCACCTTCCACCGCGCGTCGCGTTGCAGGTCCACGCAATAGCAATTGCCTGCCTCCTTCTGCGCGGCGATCAGAAATCTATCGGCAACATAAATCGACCAACGAGTAGTGTATAATTCTAGTCGAAACGGCGCGCGCCTACTCTCGCTCGTGACTAAATACGTTTAGCGAACGAGTATTTAGAGGAGCGCTATGGGAACGGAACGTAGATCAACGCTCACGTAATAAGGAGTCACGCTCGTGAAATGTAATGAACGATTCTGGCACGGGGCTCCCACGTGTTTCAGATTCTGTTCGCCGTATTCGAGTTAGAAAATAGTCAGTCTTCAATTTATGTTAATATTCACGTATTGAACAGGACTTTCTTGTAAACTGCTATAATTATAATTAACGCACCTTGTCGATTTTGTGAAAATACAAAGTTAGAAAATTGTTGAAAAGTTCAACCGATACTCTTAAATTGCTGTCGTTATTAACAGTTCATGTTAATACTTTAAAGCGGCTGTAAGTCTTGAAAAACCAATATGTGAATTAGCCCATTATCAGACTCACTTGCCGGAATGAGAAAACTTTATAAGATCTAAGGGATTCCTCTGGAGACGGAAGTACGCCAGTATTATCGGTTGCTCCGGTTCGGTCGCACCCAGAACAGCCATCTCACCCTGATCGCTGACAACGACAATCAACGGATCATCCGGATGCGTGACTTGAGCCGACACGCCGCCTTCAATGTCGAGCTCCACTTTGGAGATCTCACTGCCGCTATAGCTCTCGAGGATGGTCAAGTCCCTAAGATCGCCCGTCGCCGCGAGGTGGTGGCACCAAGGATACAAGAAATCGACGAAGCGGTACTTGCTGCCGTGGTGCAGGTACCTGTGGATCGTCGGCGTGGTGTTCCCATCCTCGGGGAACACCATCTGCATCAGATAACCCTCGAGGGTGTCGTAGAAGAGCGAATTCCCAGAGGGATGCGCGACCAGGATATGGGGCTGGTAGATCGACTTGACGTACCATCGCTTGCGCCAAACGTCGCTCGACGGCTCTTTCTTGTAGTAGCGGATCTGACAGAAGGTCGTCCTAAGAATGATACCACCGCGAAACCAACACACAGCCGGTATCTCAACTTCCGCGCAAATCCCGCAGTGTTGCGAGACAACAACGCGGAGGACGTTGGTACCGTCGCAGTTGCTCAGGTATACGTGACCGTCCACGTCGGTGATGGCCAACAGAGGGTCGTTCGGCGTGCCCGGGCACCAGTCGATCCCGCGAATCATAGCTTCTCCCGGCAGTTTCACCTCGTGATCTTCGCAATGAAAATATTTCACGTATTTTAGAACCTCTGGCTGCGGCACGTACGCCATTAGAGAATCCGGGAGGATTCAAATTGTCCCGGGAAGAAAATTAATGACGATGTCACATGCCTTTTAAGATGACGATTTTATTGACAACATCGAGCTCCCAGGTAAACAACTTTCCGCAGGTCTTTCCCACTTGACCGACGACGGTGCGTCCCGCGCGAGTTATTCTGATCATCTGACCGACCTCGTCGCGTATAAAAGTATCGACTATCGCGATCTTCTCCCCCGTTCTCCAGCACCACACGATCATCGGGAAATTCGGGTACGAGCCCAGCGATACAAGGTAATTATCCGGCGTGAACGCGATCGCCAGATAGCCGCTGTTGCATCCATCAACGCACTCGCAGATTCTCGTCATCGAGGGATATGCGAGTATGAGGATTCGCGGATTCAGCGATCTCTCGGAGAAGGCGAAAATCGGCGAGGACGCGTGACCAGATATACAGCGAGCACCATCACCGGTCGCATTGTTCCAGCACCAGTATAACGTTTGCTGCCTTTTGACGACGTGGAAGAACACGATGTACAGACCGGTGCACCAGGCGAGCACGTCTCTGTCGATCCAAACTATTTCCTCGATCTTGCTGCCGCGCACCCAGCAAGGTGAATAACTCGCCACTCGATTCATCTTCGCGTACTTGTCACAGTGATTATCTTAAACTAATAAAATTGTCAATTGGTTACAAAGACTAACCTAGAACGCACGACCACTTTGACAAGCGACGACAAGAGAAACAAATTACAAACAGATCGAATGAGCAACAACGAATTTTGAACACTCGCCTGTAATAACTATTGATTATTTTAAAAATAAAAAATTCTTTAGATTGTGCCAGCAATAAATAACAGAAGGAAGTTTTAGTCGACCTTAACTGGCCAGTGTTTAATATAAAATAAAGATACAGAGCGTACCTCTGACCTGCGAGAGGCTATAAGTTAAGGTCAACTAAAACTTCCTTCTATTATTGATTATTTAATGAAACGGTGCCATAAAGTGACTGATTTGTTAACAATTTTTCAAATACGCATTGATAGGATTAAAAAATAAATAATGGATAATGCGATTAACAAAAGTTGTATTTATTGCTGCCACAATAACTTGTTATCCGTAAATGCTTGTCTCTTAAACTAACCTGAAGAGGACTGCGATTTGCAGTCGAAACGTCGTTATTTTGAAAAATTAAATATAGCCAGTTATGTTGAAACAATGGATTGATTATTGATTTAATTACTGGTGAACAAAAACATTACCAACAACATTAAAAGTTGTAAATGTAAATTTAAGTGGAATGTAACTTCTTGTTTACCTAATTTAAAAGTGACTTTAAATAAGATAAAAATTGGATTAAAAACTGTATTCAATATACATTTATGATTAAGTAAATTGTAGAAATTATATACCGGAATCAGTAATTATCAATGATCGTTATTTTTATTAGATTTTTCAAAGCTATTCAACGCGGCTACGTCTGAACGAATGAACGAGGCAAACTTCTTATGCCTTCGGCAATGTTCGAGACTAATTTTCTACGGAGTTAAAAGTTTCCATTGTTCTCCATTGTAAAGGCAACAACGTAAAAACCCGAAAATTCCACTCGACGTTACGCTGAATTCTTTTTTTAATGTCGAAAAAAGTAAATCGAGATCAAGTAACTATGCTTGACGTCGCGTGTCAGACTTGTAAATGTAAATGTGGCATTTACAATAATTCTTTTATAGAAAAATTCGTTTTCACAAGTTATTTAAAATGTGTAATATCATTAACGTTTATTGAAGCGTATAATAGAAATAAGACAACAGCTGGTATTGATGTTATGTCATAATAATGAAAGATTTCATGAAAAATGAACGAAAGGTCTGCGTCCACGCAACATACCGGTAGCAGACAATGTCTTTTAAAAGTGACGGAAAATATGATGTCCATTTATTCCGTCAACTGACGATGAAGCGAAGAACATTCAACCGAGAATTACCTGTTTAACTGTTGTGCCTCTATTGTCTCTGCTTAATTCAACCAGTGACAACTATTCTCCAGTAACATCCTTCATGTTTATTGTATAACTGTGCTTTAAAGTATCCTGACGGAAGATGAATTCGGCTCCATTAAAACAAGACACTCGCGCTTTATCGATTCAGCTCAATAAACCTGCATCCGAAGAGCGTAAGGATGTAAGCGATTAAAATCATTTTTTTAAAGGGAATCTCACAAATGTCTACAGAATCATATAAGTATGCGGTTTGGAAATAAATGAGATAAGGACCTAAGCAGATTCAACTTTATACGCGACATTTGATGCTTCATGTCTGTTAATGTAGATAAGATGCTTCGGAGAACCGGGTTAACGCAGTTTAGTTTGAATGATTATATTTCAGAACTTTAGTTGTCCTTTAGTTGTCTCTCCCTTCCTCTCTATGTTTTAGATTACATAAAAAAAAATGGTCGGTACAAATTCGTCGGCTCGCTTCGACCGCTACGCTTTCGTGCAATCTTCGTGCAGTTTCCTCAGATTTACGCCGTTCGTGGATGGCGACGGTTATCGGGGGTGCCTTCGACAGTGGGGTCAGCCGGTCTCTCTCCCTCTCTCGAAGAAAGAATTTGGCAGGCTTAAGACAAAAGGTGATTAGGATACGCGCAGTCGATGGTGGTTTATAAAGACCCCCATAGCGTGGCGTGATGAGGTCAACCAGCAGGGAGTCATCCGTATAGCGAGGCCCGATCAAAAACTTATCCTTGCCACGTGATATACTGCCCATGGATACTTGCCAAGCCATTCTCCGTTCTCTCTCTATCTCTCTCTCTCTTCTTCTCTCCTCCGACCTGGTCCTGCCTGCCCTCCCTGACCGGCAGTCTGACTGACTGACTGCCTACCTTGAGACTGCCTGATTTCGTATCCTCGCATATCCACGGTCGAAGGGATCTGCCTCGCTTCGTCCGCGGCGTCGTACGCGCTGCCCGTACGCCGTCGCCTCACCATTAAAGTGACGCCCGCTGAGATTTGTATTTGCATAACCCACCGGCCACGTACCAATCGGCGTTATCGACGAGTGCTCGTGAACGACGAGTGGCATCGCCTTTCCGGCGTCGCTTGGACCGAGTCGCGTGGGAACCTGAGAGCGGGATCACATCGTGCGCTTCGTTGCACGAGTGACTTCAATCGGCTCTCGTTCAGTCTTACTTGCTGCCCGATGTGTTTCGCTTACAACTAGAAAGGTATCTTGGTGAAAAGTGCTTTCAATAAATAATTCCCCACGCGCGCGCACTTGACGTAGAAAGGAGAACTAATTGTACGTCTTATTGAAGTATAAAAATCGAATACGAGCTAAAGAAGTCATCGTTGAGCCTAAAGCTCTGAGAGTATGGCCATCAGTCGAGCGCGAATCTATCCTATCGTATAATACGGCTTTTTCAGGCGGTTAAAAATAAAATTCCGCACCGCCAGGTTGAGTTGAGATATTCCCGTGGAAGTGCGCGTAGGCTACGTTAAGCGTGAAGCGTCCAGCGCCGGGTGTTCGTGCTTAACGTTTAGTCTCGCGGTCTCGCGCAACGACTCCCGGGGGAGGCGCGCGCCCCGTGAGGGCGGCGGAGAAAAATGGTGATCCGAGGCGGAAAGCGGCACAGCCAAAGGAGCATCATCCGCGTGTATACGCGCCGGTCGTTCCGTGGCCGGCACGCACACGTGCTGCGCGACGAGCAACCGCCGTCTCGTATCACATCGTCCGCGCAGTGTGGGAACCCGCGCCGCCGAGAGACAGGGGGAGGGAGAGGGAGCAAGAGAGAGAGAGAGAGAGAGAGCGAGAGAAAGAGAGAAAGGGAGGTGATCGAGAGGAAGAAAAGAGGAAGGAGCGCGGCGACTCCGAACGCGGCGGAGTAGCATTTAATCAGAGCCTCGCGTCGAAGTGCACGGTACACGTGTACGTATACCGCGGGAGGTGGGAAGGGGAGGGGAAGTAGAAGAGAGCGGTATATGGTTCGGTTAGTTTTTGCTCGGGAGGTTGCCTGGAAATTGGCGCCAAATTAGTAAGGAGGACGAGGCGAGGCTCACGGTGCCTTGGGCTGCGTGACGCGAGACATTAAAAGTAACCTCTGCTCTTGTACACCCCCGTCCCTCCGCCGATCGCTGCTGCTCCTCTCCCGCCCCTCCCTGTCTCCCCCTCGCCCCGTCCTTCCCGTTCTGCCGTCGTTCTACCCGGACCCCATCCTTCTCGCTCTTCCTCCATGCAGCATCACAACAACTCTTCCTTCCTCCTCCCCGTATCTTCTTCTTCTTCTTCTTCTTCTTCTTCGCCTCTTCCTCTTCCTCCTCTTCCTCCTCCTCCGCAAAGATGTCCGTACTCCGGAGGAACGGGCAGCAGCTTAGAACTCCTCGGCCTCCCAGTAATCACGTCCGCCCAACGAAAGGAAACGAGAGAAAAAGGAGGAATTCGCACTTACACCAAACTCAGGTCTGCGCGTAGCGATTGGGGGGTAGGTAGGTAAGGAGCGAGAGCGGGGGGGCAAAGGGGGGACGCGGAGGGAAGCGTGTGATACCGAGCCGAGGCCGTTCGAGGATGGTCGTTGTCGAAAAAGGGTATCACGCCAACGGTCGCGAGAGAACCAGGCCGTCCCCCCTCCCTGCTTCCCGGACCCCCGAATTGCCGGTACCATAGCGCACGGAATGACGCTGACGGGACCAGCAGCGACCGGAGTATCTCACGGGCCTGAGCGTTTTTGTCGCTGGCACCCTCGGTAAACGCGAGCGGCACCGGGGAATTTTTGAAAAACGACGAGAAAGGGGCGGGAGGAGGGGACGTTTTACAGCAAATTTGTAGGCGCCGCGCTTGTTCTCCGCAAACGGGGGGAGCATGAACGCGGAGAAATTAACGCTCGTCCGCAGAGAACTCGGGGCTTTCTGGAATTTTAAACATACACACCGCTCGGGAGCGATTAGACGTTCGTTTCTTCGAGGACGATTCTGCGAAATGAGCGCCAGTGATTAAAATACGTGAGAAATCTGCCATGTGCTCACAGATGTATTTATCGAGGATCGAGCTTAGGAGTTAATTAGATAATATCGATAATTCGAAGAAGCAATCCCTTGGCTTATCGCGCAGTGTGAAAACTGTTACAGATCCACCGTTTACAACGATTATCGTGGAGCTTATTGGACATCGTTGAACGACGACGATATCACGTAGAGTATCGCCGGCGTCTCGCGATACCTACACCTCAGAACCTATTTAGATCGATTCCACGTCGAGTTTTGTAAAACACAACCGTGGAGAGATAAGCATAGATTCGGTGGTCATTCACTCGGCGAGACCGGTCGTTCGCTAGGTGGTGCACCCACAGCCCGGTGATTTGACTACCATTTCCATCCGGAGGGAGCCTGGCGGGCCGCTCGAACACGACTAAAACGCTACTCCCATTACGGATAGACCCGGGTCCTGATTTGCACCGGCGATAGCGCCGGCACACCGCCAGGCGTAGAGAACGCCGGCCGATGAAAAAGGAGGTGAACGACGAGAAGGGGGTGGGCGCAGAGGGAAGAGAAATCCTCCGTTCGCCGCGCGCTGCGCGGGGGACTCACCTCCGGTCGACGAGGCGGCAGCTGCGTTTCTCGGCCGCCGTGCGTGCGCTGCGCACGCACA